TGAAGAACGAAAGTTACCACTGGATCTAGCCTAAAACTACCACCAACGACATCACAGCTTACCATGCCTTCGGGATCCATACGAAAATATATTTCACAGGTCATTGACTCGTTAACGTGTCACTGAAGCGAGCCATGTGGTACTGCTATACAAACTGTTTATTACATCCTAATTTTTCAAAATTTTAGGAGTTACAGAAATGTAAGTATCAAATCGATTGTTACACGCTGATTTGTTTAGACTATTCCTGAAATATAAGATGCACTTGACTTTTCACATGCTTGAACACTTTTGACTATTCCTTGCCAAAAGAAAATGGACAATGATATCTTCCAATCGATCAGACTGTTAGTGACACATTCGAACGATCCTACCCCCAGTACGTCGCGAGGCCGAGCGCGTGAGGCCGAGCCAGCGCAATAAAGCCCAACAAACCCACCCGACATCCACCCCTCATGAGGCCCCACGTGACGAGGCAAAGCGATCGGCCCTCGCCCATCCCCTCACGTGCCACCACCTCCATAAACCCTAGCCTTCTTACCTCCACTGCAAGAAACTGACCCCCCCTGAGGGAGTCCTGGATTATGGGGTCCTCGGACGTCCGACCTGTGTGACATGGGCTGGACTAATGAGCTATGGAGATGCAAGACAGAAGACTCTCTCCCGTGGCGATGGGACTCTCCTTGGCATGGATGGCAAGCCTGGCGTTTGAATATGAAGATTCCTTCCTCTGTAACCGACTTTGTACAACCCTAGTCCCCTCTGGTGTCTATATAAACCGAAGGGTTTAGTCCGTAGAGGCAATCATAATCTGACAGGCTAGACTTCTAGGGTTTTAGCCATTATGATCTCATGGTAGATCAACTCTTGTAACCCTTATACTCATCAATATCAATCAAGCAAGATGTAGGGTATTACCTCTATTGAAAGGGCCCGAACCTGGGTAAAACTTCGTGTCCCCTGTCTCCTGTTACCATCAACCTTAGACGCACAGTTCGAGACCCCTACCCGAGATCCGCCGGTTTTGACACCGACACCCCCCCCCCACACACACACACGCTCACCGTCAAACCCCTACCTCACGACATCCTCACATCGGCGGCACCACGTAACCTCTATCCCCTTCCACCACCACCAATTTCATCCTTCAATAGCTCCACAAACCACACCAGCAAACCTGAAGAACAAAAGTTACACTGGATCTAGCCTGAAACTACCAGCAACGACATCACAACTTACCAGGCCTCCGGGATCCAAAAGGAACAAGAAACGACAGGTAAAATCTAACTATCCTACAGTTGATGTATTTTCAAGTCAATCCAAAATCAAAAGCCCCCATCAAAAAGGAAAAACCTAGAAATCAAGTGGAAAAGGGGGCCTTTTCCCTATTTTTACCAATTTGTGTGCATACAAGCTACCAACATGTGTGCAAAATGAGTTACCAGGGCAATGAAAATGTGTACAAAAAGAAGTTGTGCATGATGTAGTTGTCAACTGGATCTAAATGGGTTTACAAAAAGAGTTATCAGGGTAGACATAGAAAAAATATGAAAAAGCCAACTCCTTTCAACTTATTTGACAAATCATGTAAATCTGCTACAAAACAATGATTGTATGTGAAGAGAAAGGTTACAGGTCCCCAACTGGATCCAAATTTGTTTTGATTGTTGTATAGAAAAGAAAGTAGGAAAAGCTACCATGTTGTTTCATACAAAGTTATCAGCTCTAGGATACAAAAAAGTACCAGGCTACTATCACTAAAAACCCATGTGTAGTATAGAGTGTTGTAGAAGGGACTAATGTTACCAAGTGGAATAGACTGCCAATTGACTACCAAGTTGTTACTGTAAAAAAATTGACAATATCCAAATCAGTGCAAAAAAAACAATACAAGAAATTGTAATGTTGAATTGTATGCCTGATGCAATTAAATGTGTAAGCATGTACTACAAGATGGCGGATAACCACGGAGAAAACATGAATGTCATAGAGAGTGGTGGGGAGGCAAACAGCAGGATGAGGGTTTTTTTGCGAGGAAAACAGCAGGATGAGGTTGCACATATGACTAGCTTTAGCTCTGCCAACCTCAACCACGATGTGGCAGGTAAGAGTCAATTCAACAAAAGTGTTAAACTCTCTGTCTATGATGTACACAAAATATTCTAGTGTTATCAGCTCTACATCCAAAAAATTACCATGCTATATGCATTGTAATTACCATCCTGGATTTTAGAACTACCAGGCTTCTTACAAGTAAATTACCATAGAGTGTTTGCTATTGTTTACAAAGCTCTAGTTTGGGGAAAAACTAGCACTCTATTTTAGGGTTAACACAAAACATTGAGCATGCAAAGATACCGACTGCAACAAAGTCATATTTACTTGTCTTACTGAATCCATAACGAAAAAATGTTTTCTGCTATTTTACCATGCCAACAGAGTGCAAGTTACCACAAAAAACAAAACAAGTTTAAAAACCGATGGTCCTTTTCATGTGAAAAAATGCAAGTGCTCCACCTACGAGCAACCCGAGGATCCAAGAGCCAAACAAGGAAGCAAGTGCTAACATTGGGGGGAAGAAAGTTTCTTTGATGAATCAACCAGTGAGCCGGCAAGTCCAGAAATAGGAAGGGTGAACAGTGATGAAGGAGACGTAAGCATCGAGGCATACTCCACGCCTAAGCCTCCTTATACAACAATGAAGTTCGACACTTATGAGGAGGCTTTTGATTACTACAAGCTATATGCACTTAGGCATGGGTTTGGAATAAGGCTGGAATACGGGAGAACGGGGAAGGACAATACAGTAAGTAGAGTGCTCATGGTGTGTGAGAAAAACGACAAGCCAAAAGAAACAAGGAGGAGTTACAGGATGTGCAGAACCCAAACGACATAGTAAGAAGAGAAAAAGGGGAAGATTGTGAGGACTGAATGTCCAGCCCACCTTTATATTACAAATAAGGATGCATGATGGAGAGTCGAACGTGTCGACGATAACCACAACCATCCTCTGATAAAAAAGCCTTCCCTGAAAAAATTCCTAGCATCACATCGACCCATTCCCAAAGATGAGCATGACTTCTTGAGGAAATACGTGCCTCGCTACCCTTTCCATCACGAGGTGAGGACTCCACAAGCTTGAACCTACTACAAAGCACCTCCCCCACTGAAGATATATCAATCTAGTTGGCCAAACCAAATGGATAGTTCGGAGAGAAATACAAAGCTATAATAATCATGCATAATAAATTTCATAAAAGACTTAGTTACTTTCAATGAATAATCTAACCATAAACCCACAATTCATCAGATCCCGACAAACGCACCACAAAAGAAGATTACATCGGATAGAACTCCAAGGAGAACATTGTATTAGAGATCAAAGAGAGAGAGAAGAAGCCAACTAGCTAATCACTATGGACCCATAGGTCTATGGCAAACTACTCACACATCATCGGAGGTGCAACAAGGTTGATGTAGAGGCCCTTCTTGATCGATTCCCCCTCCAGCAGAGTACCAGAAATGGCTTTGAT